ATTATACTATTAATAATGATCCAAAGTTTGTTAATTAATTGTGGAAACCACTGAACTATAATTGAGTAGTAAATAGTATCTGCAGAGCTGGGTGATGTGGAGTGATATGTTTATGTTCTGTTATTTTTTAGGGCTGAAACTAACGTTTACTTTCATTATTGATTGATTTTGGTTTATTAGTCCTTGTCAGAAATAGCTCCCAGTCCAAACTGACATCTTCAACAGCTTGTTTTGTCTGAACAGCTGTTCTGAACCAAAAGACATTTATTTTATTATGAGGCCACAAAAAGCAGGAAACCTTAATATCGGAGGAGCTGGAACTAGTAAATCTTTTTAGTTAACATTTGTCAGAATTGTTGCAGATGAATCTTTTGTCCATCAAATTGATCAAATGACTAATTCTGTCAACTCTGAATTCATTCATTTGACACAATTACTGAAGTTTTGTTCACATTTAAAGTTTTGTTTCAAGTAATGTGCCACATTGAGACACATTGCTGCTATATTATATTAGATATCGGAAAAACACTGCACACTGTTAGTAACTTTTCCTGTACATTAGCTCATGTTCTCCTCCTCCTTGTCCCTTCAGGTGCCTGCAAACACAGATAGTGTGATGTGTTTCGGGCCCCTTGTTCCTGATGGTTACGCCATTTGTTACAACCCCCAGGAGGACCATGTCCACTTTTCCATCACCGCCTTCAACTGCTGTGAGGAGACTCATGCAGAAACGTTAGCTCACACTCTGAAGGACACCTTGTGTCAGCTCCAGGAGCTACTGCAGCCTACTGTGTAGAGCTGCTGCTACAGTATGAACCCACTGTTCAGCACCAGGGGGAAAAAAAAAAAAACACTTCATTCTTATTAATCAAACTTTTTGTCTCGATGAGGCTTGTTTTTGACATGAACATTTTCTCATACATGCTACTTGTAACACTTCAGCGGAGCAGTTAATTCTGAGAGAGCCTCACAGTATTTCTAATGTACCTTTTATGAGGCAATCAATCTTTGCTTTTCTAGCAAGAGCTGAGCAAGCAGGTAGCATTATAGCTGCCTCAGTGGATGCACTTGGAGGCGTCTAAGCTGAGTGAAAGCAAAAGTTAAAGCCAGCTTAACACTCCAGCATTATTCACAACAAACTAAGGCATATATGTTGAAAATGGCCGCACTCCTTTTACATGTCATTAGTTGCCAAGTGGCCTTCTAGTATCTTCTACAAAGATTAAATACGTCTCATGTGTCTCAGTATCAGAAGTAATTCACAAGTGTTTATGGAGATTTGCGTTTGGAAAGGACCAAAAGGCAGAAAGTGGTGCAAAAAAATTAAAGGTGCTTTTTTCTTTCTGAGGTCAAACAACCTGGCTTCCAGCATATATTTACTTTATTTTGAACTAAATGTGGTCAACCTGCAAGACCAGTTAATAAAGCCTGTTTTCACATGAGTCCTTGTTTAAGTGCTTTATTAGTGTATTGGACAATAATCAGCAAAGGAGGAGTTCTCACCTCAGAGTTGTTTGTTTTGCATCGACTAGAGACAAAAAAAGCAAGGAGCCATGCAGCAGATCGTCTGACCCCATCAGAGCCCTGATGCCATCAACATGGAGTCAGTTTCAGATTACGTGAACAGACCGTGGATGGCCACTCCCAGAATCTGATTGGTCTGTGGCACCTTTTTCAAGATCCTAGAATAACCTATCTGCCAAGTGGTTTGGGAACTGTGCACCTGTGAACCTAGAAGAACTGGTGCTGTTTTAAAACCAAAGTATTAATTTTGTTGTTTTTCTGTTTCCTACACTTTGTATGAAGTTAACAGATACACTTAAAAAACTATTCATATTATTTTTTAAACGCATCCTTGCTTCTTTTTTAGTGCCTACAACTTTTGCAAAGTGTTGCCGTTGATATTTTACTTAAAGTAAGTGTAAAATTCTGCAGACTAAAATGAAGTGGAGAAGACATGGAGCTTTTGGGGCCCCTGGGGTCTTGCCTGCTTTGCCCTGTTTGTAATCCAGCTGTGACATCTTAAAGGCAACAGCTGCTGCTTTAGAACAACACTTAACACAGATGTTGTAGACGCTGTATATAAACGGTCACCTCACGGCTTCACTCTGATTGGAGCAGCAAGGTGACGTCAGCAGCCACCGTATCGCCGGTAATTTAAAACCGGAAGAAGAAGAAGCTACCAAAATAAAGCACAGCGGTTCTAAACAGATATACTTTACGTGTTGTTAAGCAGTAAACACATGTATATTGCAGCGTGTCTACAGCAGGATCCCTCACCTACGACCGGACTGCAGCACAGCTGTCCCAAAGCTGGAACAATAAGCCGAAGATGCCAGCACAACAGCAGCCAAACAGATTTTAATGCTTTTATTTCGTTTTACTTGATATCGCTTTATGTAGCAAGACTTGGTGTTATTTAGTAGTTTTAAATAACAGTTCTAAGTTAATATAAAGGGCTTCCGTTTGGCATGTCAATAACAAGGACGAGGAGCAGCGGGACGGCCGGGCTGTGGTACGCGCTGCTCGGTGCGTGTCTCTGGGCTGCAGCGGTTGGGTACAAGCCGGTGATCATAGTGCACGGTTTGTTCGACGGCTCAGGGAATTTTGTCAACTTGAAGCGGTTCATTAATGAGGTGAGTGGTAAATAATAACAGTTTAATATGTGTTCCTTTAGGGTACAGAAACACAGGGGGCTGGCCTTAATAGTTTACATTAAAGTTCAGGCCTTACTGCTCATCTGAACACAAAACGTGGACCTGCAACATGTACTGTGCCACATTAGTCAGCTTCTACCACGATGCTAGAGTCAGTAGATTGGCTTGTGACTGAACAAGCTTTCTGTGTTATCCCTGCAGGAAAATCCAGCACAATAGTAATAGTGGAAAGTACTATACTATTTCATAGTACTACTTTCTTTTTCACTGCAACCAATCTGAAGTTTTAGCTTATGTGTAGAGGAGCGTATTCAATAAAGTTGTCAGAACATAGTAATAATTTCAGCTGCATATAAAGACAAAGAAATGTGCCCTTTCTTACGTGTGGTTTGTAGTTTGCCAAAACCCCTTTGAAATGCACACACAGTTTAAAGATTGTGTTGGAAGTAACCTGACTGATTTGCAGATGTGATGTGAGACATTTTCATGTTTTTGAACTTTGTGAAGTTGAACCAGGATTACGTTCCTCTTTTATTAGAAAGCCACAGACTGATATGACACTACATATTTTCTTGGGGGTAAAAAAAATAACCAAAAGCAGAAGCTCAGGCTCACTCTCGGTTTCAGTTAGTCCTGGCTTCTTGACAAATCAGCCCATTCATATTTAAAGCTCATCCTGATAAAATGAAGTGAAAGAACTCTTTTCTCTCCTGCAGGCTCATCCTGGAACAAATGTGACAGTCATCGACTTGTTTGACAGGAGTGCCAGCCTGGAGCCTTTGTGGAAACAAGTGGAGGGATTCAAGGCAGCTATTTACCCGATAATGCAAAATGCAGCAGACGGCGTCCACTTCATCTGCTACTCTCAAGGTCTGTGAATCAGCCTGTTCAAGTGAAAAATGCTTCTTTAGTTACTGTGTCATTTCTGCAAAAACTGAGACTGACACAGTTTTCTGTAAATTGTAAATTATTTACTCCTTTGTTGTTTTATTTGCTTTTTTAATGACACTTGGGATTTCTGCTTCAGTCCTCCCAGCAACAGATTGTAATACAAGCCACTAAATGTTCCAGTTAGTAAAAAAAACAGGGGAATAAACATGCATTATAAGAGCTTCTTTGCTCAGTGTGCATGTAAATTAATCACAGGCCATTTTTGTCAACTTGTTACCACAGAACAGCCACTTTAGAGTTCATATTCATGTTTTTAAAAATCACTTTTGCATGTTTTTATAAAGGTCATACTACACTTAAAAACAAATTACAGTGCATGTTAGGAACACGTATAAAAAGTAAAGTATGCAGTTATACAGTATGTCTAAGCAGAGCTGAAACAACCAGTCAAATGATATTTTTAGTCACTTTCTAACGTCTCACAGCAACACGCACATACACACACAAACAAACAGAGTCATTGAAAGATTATCTGCCTGCCTTAGTCCTGTGTGACTCATCTCTGACCAGGAAGTGTTATGATTTTTAATAAAGAGGTATGGAACTCCTCATGAGCACTTCCATGGGTATATAAAAACAGGTATTCTGTGTCACTATAGGTGGGCTGGTTTGCAGAGGAATCCTCTCCACTCTGTCTGACCACAACGTCCACTCCTTCATCTCTCTGTCCTCGCCTCAGGCCGGGCAATATGGAGGTAGGTTATTAGTGACAAGCTGGTGAACACATCAGAGCATTTAGCAAAACTGAACTAAAAGGGAGTGAATATTGCACTTAGAGTCATCAGGTGGACACATAAATGACTCCAAATGAAAGATAGTGTTGCTCTGTAACTGCTGAATGTGTAAATAAGCATCTGTTTGCTAATACATTTGGTCTAGAAATCAATAATTGCAGGTCCAACATGTTACAAACTGGTTCCTTCTCTTCATGTCTTGATTGTGTTACTAACTCTGGTGTTTGTCTTTTGTCTCAGATACAGACTACTTAAAGTACCTCTTCCCTCAGTTTGTGAAGTCCAACCTGTATCACATCTGCTACACCGGCTTAGGTCAGAGGATATCCATCTGCAACTACTGGAATGGTGAGACTCCAGGAGTAACTTTCTTATAGGCTGGCACACAAGGTGTGATGTCATAAAATGGAATTATAGTCCTTATGTTGTGAAATATGAAAACGAGACATTCAGTGTCCTGTTTTCCTTAAGATCGTGCCAGGCTACTGAGAAGCTTCTTAGGTACTGTTTGTTTGTCCTTACGCATCATCTTGCCCTCTCCAGACCCCCACCACAGAGACCTGTATGTGAACAGCAGTGATTATCTGGCGCTGCTCAACAACGAGAGACCCAATCCAAATTCAACAGGTCAGCAAATTCCTTGAGGGTAAAACTCAACATAAGTGTAGTGTGTGTACTGTGTCTATCAGCGGGTGTGTGTTTTTCTTTATGACGCAATAGTGACCCAGCAAAGGGATTTCTCGCTAAATGAGACTACAGAGGCTGTCTGGGATATTAACCGTCATCACACCAAACACGGAGACTAATCTATTCATTAATCTGTCTTTGCGGCCTCATTGTTTTTAAACTTGCGCACTTGCAAACTCTTCTAACTAACTGACATTCTAGCTAAATCAGGTCATGCTAAGAGGAAAGGAGAAGAGGTAAGTGCACTAAATAAATTTACAAGTTGGAAGCTGCAGCAGTGACATTAAAGTCAGGGGACCTGGTGTAGTTGTTTTTTATAGCCTAACAAAAGCTTTTTACTTCTGGTGATTGTATTTGGGCTTCAGTAATCATAAAAGTGCTGTTTACTTGTGGAGATTATCTTGCTGAACATAACATACAAGTGTCATAAACCTTTGTTTGACTTTATTGATCCCACAATGGGGAAATTCCTGTGTTCCAGTAGCAACAGAGAGCAGCAACAAAACACCATAACAACAAACACCACACACATATCAAATAACTTGTGTTGCTTCTGTCCTATGTCACTTGCTTTGTTTTCGCCTCTCTTTCTCAGAGTGGAAGAAAAACTTCCTCAAGATGAAAAAGTTAGTGTTGATCGGAGGACCAGATGATGGAGTCATCACTCCCTGGCAGTCAAGGTGAGATGTATCCTTGTGGTCATCAACTATGACTTCAAGTAATAAAATTTGTCTTTAAGACGAATCTGTTTTACTCTGCTCTTTGGCACATTGCATGTGTGGCTTTGTTGTGCTAAAATGCTCTTCTTAGTTCACACATTAGCACAAGTGCTTTTTCTGACTATGGATGACACTTATGTGATACTCACACATTATATCACCTCTTTCTCTTTCATATTTTACAGTCAGTTTGGATTTTATGATGACAACGAGACCGTTGTTGAGATGCAGCACCAAGATGTGAGTGCAGGTCATACAACAAATGCACACTGTTTTCAAGTTTATTCCAGTGCTCTCCTGCCCAAATATCTCTATATTATTTGGATTATTTTCATTTGACAAATAAAATATGCCACAATATGTTCCCTTCTTACAGAACAGCTCAAGCTTTATTTAAAATAACTATCCAACTGGAAAAATCAGCAAAAGTGAATGAATGTTTACTAAGAAGTGCAGCCCTTGACTTGGATCTTTGATTTTACCTAAATCACACAAAATCAGCCTTTGTTCCAGCAAGAGCATAAGACCAACCTGTTTCTGGCAAAGTGCACACCGATATTTACACTGTCCAACACTTTGATACTTAGAAAAACAAGGTAAGGCAAGTACACAAAGGCATAACAAAGTGCTTCATACAGTGCATACAAATAGATAAAAGGTTAAAATGCATACATAAATAAAACATTAGAATGCAAATTAGGCTAAAACGTTAAATGCAGATGAAAAGCAACAATTACATGGCAGTAGCAACATGCAAGTGTAGATACCGTCCTCTTAGACTTACACTTTCTAAGGATATCATTCTAGTGCCAGTCTCTATTGCGAGTAAGAGAAGAATAGGACATAGACCTACAGTAGCTAAGCGCTAACTCAAGATCCATTTTCTTCCAATTCCAGTTGTACTTAAGAGATGTTTTTGGTCTGAAGACACTGGCGGCTCGTGGAGATCTGATCCTCTGCTCTGTTCCTGGCGTCGCACACGTCTGGTGGCATTCAAATGAGACTGTGTTCCACACGTGCATGGAGAAGTGGCTGGTGTAGAGCAAAACTCCTTTACAGGCGCACACACACACACAAGGACACCCAGCTTGCAGTTTTATAAACATTTCCATGATATCTGAAACTCTGCCTCTACAGCCCCGTTAAGGTATTTGCACAAATGTGTGGCTGAGTTCTTATGGATGTAATCTCATCTTTTGGATGACAATTCACAAAAATCAGTTGGTAATCAAACATTTGTCTTCTACTTTTTGTTGATTAGGTATTTGTTTTTAAAGATTTTTTATTTTTATTTTTTATTCCTATTAACTATTAGGTTAGGTTTTAAATGAGTAGCTTGACATTTTAAGAAATATACTTATTCACTTTCTTTCAGACAGTTTAAAGAAAGAGCTACCCCTCTTGTGTCTGTACACTAAATATCAAGGTACTACCAGCAGCCTGTTAGCTTAGCATATAGCTAAAACTCTGGAAACGGGGTAAAACAGCTGGCCTCTCTGTCAAAAGGTAACAAAATCCTCCCACATACATAAGGTAATATCCATATGTGTGTCTGTGCGCATATACCTCAAAACAACACAATAGTGCCTGAGTAAAGTTCTCTGATCTACATGTACCATCTCACTGCCCTACTAGTTTTATGATGCAGTAATATATATAATGTATTTATAAGGATAAAAAAATTATCCATCCATTTTCAGCAAAGGGGAATAATGTTTTCATATTTTTTTTAGTGTGCACATCTGATCTTAATCATTTCTATCATCATGCAGTACTTTAAAACCTTAATAGCTTGGCCTTAGGTTTTTCTCCCATCCCTCCTCTGTTTTTCACATCCGATACCGAAGTGCTGATACCGCCTTTTCTGGTGGCCAAAAATAATATAATAACGCAGACAGTGGAGACTGGTGCAGAGAGCAGCAGTGATGTATTAGTTGACCTCCCATTGTATTTAAATACCTCAGGCATTTGAGCAACCTTCATGTTTATCTATCTCTTTTGGAAAAAAAGGGATTAATTTCATTTAAGTGTTTGTGTTTTTTTTTCTGGCTGTTGTGCTCATTGATGCTGTATATTGAAAGAAGGGGAAAATGGAAAGTTTGCATTGCACAATGTATAGCCAGATAAAGAGAAGGGAAATGATAAAGGTGGGATGATTTTAACGGTTTTAAAGTTGTTAAATTAGTCGTATAATTTAAGTATTGTTGCATTCTTTGATTCATGTATGCTTGGGCAAATTAATTGACCTAATTGCATAAAATATGGATTTAAGGGATGTCCTTCCATTATAATATTCTTGCAGATAATAATTATGGATATGGACACTTTCTTCTAAAATTCAAAAAGAAATTACTATTTTGACATAGTTCCAGAGTTTGTAGAGCATTTGGTCTGTAAATAAAAGACAGTTTTCAACATCTGATTGTCCCAGTCCTTTGATTTTACATAGTTATGTCCTACATATTTTTATTGATGCATTTTTAAAGTACTTATTAATTAACCCTTAGTCCATCTTAATAAATAGAAGCTATTGTTATTAAATATTTTAAATTTCAGTTATCAATATCAGCCATTATGGGTAGCTCACAGCAAAGGTTTGTATCAATATGGAAGTACCTAAACACTTGGTGTTGGTTTACAGGTGAGAACAGTCCAGATTTAAAGCCTTTTATGGAAAACCAGTGTTCAATAATAAATAAAAACAATATTGAAAGTAATAATCATATGACCATCATAGGGGGAAGCACGGTTAGCACTGTTGCCTCACAGCGAGAAGGTTCCGGGTTTGAGCCCAGGGCCTTTCTGTGCGGAGTTTGCATGTTCTTGCGTGGGCTCTCCCCTGGTGCTCCGGCTGCCTCCCACAGTCCAAAGACATGCAGCATGGGTTGATTGGTGTCTCTAAATTGCCCGTTGGAGTGATTGTGTGTGTGTGTGTGTGTGTGTGTCTGTCTGTCTGTCTGTTGCCTTGTTTGTCCAAACAGGACACCCACTAACATCTCAGTCCCTGTATCAGTTGCTCGTGTCTATATAAACAAGAGGTTCTGCTCTGACAAGTTAGGACCATTATTTAGACCAGTGTTCAAGCTGTTCATATCAGCTACAAAGGTGGAAGATGAAGATGAAGACTGTACAAATCCAATGATACAAAACAGACAACAGGCCCATTTTTTTAGATCAGTGCTCAAGTTGGTCAAACAGTGAGAGCCAAAACAAAAACACTCTGTCCTTGTGAAAAGTCCAGATGGAATTGTTTTATTTAGGACAGGTTTAGGTCTCAGGTAATAAACTCAACTGAGTGGCTTTTTTTGGCATATGATTATTTTGTGTTACATAGTCAGTTTGATTATTGTTTTTACAAAATAGTTTGACCTACTTTTTCTAAGTACCTTTAGTTTCCCAAACTAGATTTCTCCCTGTGGTAGCTTTGCTGTAGTTTGTCTTCCTCCACTGTGGAGTAACTGATAGTTGTGCTTTCAAAGTACTGTAGCTTCCCCAACACTGCAGTTTGGGTTTAGGGAACACATTATATATCATCAAGGGCTCTCACAAGTATTGTACAAATGTATTGACCTATTTGTCACATTGCATGCAAACATGACACTTTCCTCACTGCTGTGTT